CTGTATTCAGTGGGACATCACCATTATAGCTTCCTTTACCTCATTAAGTCTGGTTGTTATTATTGCTTTGAACATATTTATAATGTGTTCCTTAAAGTCCTTGTCTTTTAAATGCACTCTATGGACTCTCTCACCAACAGTTTGTTGTTTTTCATTCTTGTGTAGCTGTCCTTCTTTCTTATTTCTTTGTATGTTTTGTAATTTTTTTGTGAAAAACTGAACTCTGGATTTCCACATCCACGTCTTGTTTTTGTTGTTTGCCTTTTTTTTTTTTTTTGAATCTTCTTAGTGACCTGGCTGATCTGTCTCAGTGAATTACATTTCCCCTTCAATGTAAAGCCGTTGGTGTTGCTTCGCAAAGGGTGAAGATGTGGGACTGCCCAAAGTTACTTTGGAATAATAGTGGTTTTAGCTAGGCTCTCATAGTTTTTCTCTTTCCCAGATTTCTCTGTTAAGCTCTCTGCCTCATTTGGTATCACACCCGTTCATTAGGCTTCACTAATTGCCCGCCGATTGCACTATTATTTTTAACAATGCCCCTGGGTATAAAATGCTCTAAAGGCTGACCCAGTTAAATTCAGGCAGGGATAATTTTTGAGGCCTTTCTTTGAGGTTTGTTCTGATGCCAAGAGGGCTTTTCTTACCTGTCCCTTTGGCTTCGTTCTCTTTCTTAAAGTAGTTGGTCTATGGTTTATTTTGTTGCTCTTAATTAAGAGGAACTTTTTGCCTCCTTTTTTCTTAATACCAAAATCGCAATTGTTTTCAATAGCACCTTTAGTCTTTAATTTCCTCACACTCCAGTTTTAAAAAAGAATCCGTTCCTATAGGAAGAGCTTTGGATTTCTCTTTTCTTATAGACTGCCTCTCTGCGTAGTGCCTGAGCCAGTAATGCGGAGACTAGGCAGGTGTTAAACTCTTTTTTTCAGCATACCCCTTCCAGTTGGAAAGTACCCCAAGGAAGAAGCTAGGGCATGGACAGTTTAGGGCCCCAATATTCTCATACCGAAGAGGAAAATTACCCAGAGCGGGCCCAGGCCAGGAGGCCCCAGAAGATGTAAAGTTACTAACAATAAGCTAGAGATAACCAGAAGGCCTCCTGGGAGCAAGAGATAACCAGCCGCTTCAGCTTCGGTAAACAGGCTTCTGGCCACGGGCTCCCTGCACTACTGTCCCGCCTAAAGCAGTGCCGCCCCCCCTAGTTTAAACCACCTGCCAGCAGTCAGCATAGCCCTTGGGACCTGACTGCCTGCAGGCCCCTCTAAAAGCCCAATAACCCCGTTGCCTGGGGCCCAGAACTTCAAGCATGAGCTCATCTGGGTCCCCTGGGGGGGGGGAAATAAATCTGAGTTCTCCTACTTCTCTGAGTGTCACTTGGTCTCTCGCCGGTCTGCTTATTTTTCCGCAACATTTCTGGAGGCTCCAGCGAGATTCCGATCGTTCTGGCCCCTTGAGCCACTGCGTGGTGCCTCAACTGCACTGGAGCAGGAAGGAACTCAGGATCGAACTGAGGCGGCACACCACTCGACAGTATTCCAGGTCCTCCTTCACTCTGGAGTTGTAACCCTCCGGGCAGTCTTGCCCCAGCCGGGCTCCAAAAAGTAGACCAACTCTCCTGGCAGCTTGCCAGGACTCAGTAAGCCTCCCAGGAATATAACCTGTAGTTTGGCCCCGCTCCAACTGAGCGGAAGGGAAGCTTGATCACCTTCCAGCAATTTCCAAAAGGAATTCCACAGGTCAGAGACCTCCGGTGTGTGTGGTGGTGGGGGGGGGCAGTTCCTGTAATAACTTCGGTGTGAATGAGTGAGTAAATGAATGGCCTCTTTGTGTTTGTGGCTCCACGGTCTTGAGACTATGGAGTCTGAGTGGGCTCCAACCTGTTTCTGTGGTGACCTCATAGAGTCTAGGGCGAGCCTTTTGGGGCACCAGTCTGGGACTTCTACGGACTGGCTACAGCTAAGAGGCACCCACGTCTCCTCCGGGAGAGCGGACAGGCAGGCATCAGATTGGTCTCTCCTTTGGAGAGACACCCACCCCTTGTTTGTCTTTGCGCCACCCACACAGGGAGGGAACACCTAAGGTGGGCAAATGAGTCCCTGTTCATCATGGGTGGAAGCTCTTCAAAAACCTACACACAGTCTTAGACTGTATGCTCAAAATTTTAAGAAGGTATTCTCAGGAGACTATGGGAACAAAATGTCTCCTAGAAAAATATGCATATTATGTGAACTGAAATGGGCCACCTTTGGGGTCAACTAGCCCTCTGAGAGTGCCCTAAAGAAGGGTGGAGACATTCTACCCAGCAGCCTGGGCCTGCTCTGGGTAATTTTCCTCTTCGTTACAGCTGTACCTAGAGTAGAATCTACATCATATGAGTGTGGGATGGTCAAGGGAATGGAGCCTCTAACCCGTATCTTCACTTTTGAAGACTCTAACCTCTTCAACGTGGAATGTGAATGGATGACAAGCGCAGGCAATTAATCATCTTATTACTTGGGACGCCTGGGTGGCTCAGTGGGTTAAGCGTCTTCCTTAGGCTCAGGTTATGATCTCAGGGTCCTGGGATCAAACCCCATGTGGGGCTCTCTGCTCAGCAGGGAGTCAGCTTCTCCCTTTCCATCTGTGTTCTCTCTCACTCTCTCAAATGAATAAATACAATCTTAAAAAAATAAATATCTTATTACTTGATGGTCATCTGAGAGGAGAGAGTCTATCTTAGTCACAGTCAGTGGGAACTGGGGTTCCATCAACCCTAGACGGGAAAGAGTGAGCAAGTGCGTTGTGGCTCAAGTGGCATAGACTCTTGCCATTCTTCCTACATTGTAGTAAATTTAACTTGAATAAATATGTCTTTATTTGATGAATGCAGTTAGGACAATTTCCAGAGACATTTTTAAAATAGTTTTTGCTGGGATACCTGGGTGGCTCAGTTGGATAAGCGTCTGCCTTGGGCTCAGGTCATGATCTCGGGGTCCTGGGATCGAGCCCCACCTTGGGCTCCCTGCTCTGCTCAGCGGAGAGCCTGCTTCTCCCTCTCCCTACCGCTCCCCCTGCCGTGCTCTCTCTCTCTCTCTCTCTTTCTCTCTCTGACAAACAAGTAAAATTAAAAAATAAATAAAATAGTTTTGCCACTGATGCTTCTTTCTCTGGCTAGTGAGCTTATAAAGCTCCTCATGCTGCCATCCCAGAATTGAAACTCCTGCATTGCTCTCAGTTTTACAGGAGTGTGTGTTAACCTTACCTATTATTCCTAGAATTGAACATTAACCTAACTTTTTCCATTTCTCTAGGTTTTTATAGAGAGTATTAAAATATCTGTTTGATGCATTGTGATATTTAGAAATGTCAGATCCCAGTTTATCTTGTAAGTGCTGTGTTTTGGGTTTTGTTTTGTCATTATGGAAGTCAAACAGCAATGTCTTGTTCAATACTGTGTCTGAGATCTGGCACATAGATAAACATATTGGTGTATACATTAGGTTAGGTCTTTTGCTGTTGTGCTTGTAGTCGAAAAATATAGACTTTTTCAAGGGTTCTTATTATGTACGAAAAATTTACACCTATATGCGAAGATATTTAATTATTTATTAGAGTGAAACCTAATGTCCAGTTCCTGCTCCGTGAGCATTTGGGTTCCAAGGAGGAGACAAATATATGTTATCCATTGATGAGCATTCTTAGAATTTAAGCCATTATCTTAATAAGTCTTTGAATTTATTTGTGTGTTATTTTTCATGATAAGTATTTGTCCTATCAGCTACCTCATCTTCTCTGTGCATGACCTCTCTGGTGTGGTAACACCTGTGCTAACTATTTCTTATCACTTTTGTGAATAGAAAATTGGAAAACACATGTAAGTACACAGAGCGGAGTGTTTGACCTTCTAGAAACAATATATAATTGTAGTCTGCTGCTATTGTTATTACTATAATAGATATTGTTGATTCCTATCTCAATAAGAGTTGTACTTGATGTTGGTTTGATTAAATACCATTTGGTAATGTCACAAAAAAATACCCTATCCAAGTATTTTTTTCAATTTTTGACTGTATCTTCTCATTTAAATGTTTTTTGATAAAAGGAAAGTATAATTATTGTTATGAAAATAGATACACAGAAAATGATTTCAGTCACCATTGTCCTCCGTTCACAGCCCAGCCTCACTCACAAGTACCCATCCTGAGCAGTGTCCACATGCTCGTACTTGTTCAAGCTCACCCATACCCTTCATCAACCTTGTATTTCATATATTGTACTCTTATGCAGACCTACAGTGAATTTGTTTTCATTTTTGCTCACCTGAGAGAAACAAAATTACAGTATATATATTCGTCAGAAAATAGTCTTTCTGCTCAAAGACTTTACTCATTATATTCTTCCAGGTCAAATTTTGTTCCTATATTGTAAACTAATATTTAACGGTGTTAAATCCTCCTATATAAAATTTTCCCAACAGAATTTTTCTTATAAATTTGGTCCTTTGATCTAACCTTTTAAATTATCTTTGCCATTATGACAAAGTGACTTATCACTTCGTGATGGTATAGAAATTTTTACATTTTATTTAAGTTTTGAGGTCAGCCTGGGTAATCTCACCAACTTGTATTTACTCTTAACCTGGAATAACACTTTGCCAAATACCAAGAGAGTTGAACTGACTTTTTTCCTCCCCCTATATCCTTGACCTAAAATTGTAAAACATTTTCAGGAAAATGAACATTTTTGGCAGCATCAAATCTTTCCATACCTGAATATTGCTATGTATATTTGGTATAAAGTTTTAATTTACATAATATGGGCCCTGAGTTATTTTTGATAATTTTATTCTTTGGTAATTTACTTTTTTTTTTAAGATTTTTGTTTATTTATTTATTTGACAGAGAGACAGCGAGAGAGGGAACACAAGCAGGGGGAGTGGGAGAGGGAGAAGCAGGCTTCCCGCCGAGCAGAGAGCCCGATGTGGGGCCTGATCCCAGGACCCTGGGATCATGACCTGAGCTGAAGGCAGACACTTAATGACTGAGCCACCCAGGAGCCCCTGGTAATTTACTTTTTTACTTTCTTTGGTCTGTGGGGTGTTTTGCCATTGTATGTTCTAGTTGATTATCTTGGCAGTACATGGAAGCTATTGAGTGTTTGTTTATTGTTCTGAAAACCTTTCTCTCTCTCTCTCTCTCTCTCTCTCTCTCTCTCTCTATATATATATATATATATATATAGTGTGTGTGTATATATATATACATATATATATAAATACACTCCAAGATTTTTGATGTCATTCTCCCCTTTCTTTTAAACTACCAAAACATGAGCCCAACATACATATGCAGCAAACTGATAGTTGAAGTGCAAGTGTTAATGTAAGGGTATAGGCTATTACTATCAAAGTACTTACATGCTGGTAGGTAGGCATATGGATTCTAATTACGAAAGGAACATTGGAAGAATTTATTTTGTCAAGTATGTAAATAATATTGTGGAAATATAGTCCCTCATTTCACTGTGGCTCTTGAGTCTCTCCAAGCATTTCTATGTACACCAATTTGTTGAATTCTCATGACAATCTGAGGTATGGAATTAAAAGTGTCCACAGCTCAGGTATCTTGTAATGAGTTAATATGGTGAACCACATGCTGTATGTATTCCAGCTGCCACGTAAGTATGCATTACGTTCTGTGATTCACGATTGTTAAAGGTCAGAAAAGCAGAAACTATTCCTCAAGATGGGAAAACTAGGAGCCTTTACCTGTTAGATCACTCATGAATGCATCTCATAACAAGAGTACCCTGAGTATGTTTGCATGTTTTAAATATAATTTGTTTTCTATTAATAATAAACATAACATTTTTCAACCTCATGCATAACATGGGGGAACGATATACAATGAAAAATGAAAAATCAATGTCTTCCTGAAAGTTCTCCAATTCATATCCAATTTTTAAACCATTAACTGCCTCATTCATAAATTTAACAGTGTATTTATACTTAAATGAACACCTGTTAAACCATAGTGAGGAGTTGTTTTTCACATTAAGATAATTTATTCCGAAGCATCTTCTCTCTTAAAAAATACCCCAATAACATTGTAAAGGATCTCTTCCTCTTCCCATTTCCCTGAGATCACAAGTTGGCCGCTCCACCAACTGAGCCAGCCAGATGCCCCATTTAAATTTTTTGAACTTTTTAAATTTTTAAAAGATTTTTTTTTTAATTTTAGAGCAAGTGTGGGGGCAAGGGGAGAGGGAAAGGGATAGAATCTCAAGCAGACTTCCTGCTGAGCCCGGAGCCTGGCAGGGCGGGGGTGGGGTGCTTGATCTCAGGACCCCATATCACAACTCCAGCCAAAACCAAGAATTGGACACTCAACCAACCTAGCCACCCAGGCACTCCAACTTTTTTAAGTAAGCTCCATGCCCATTGTGGAACCCATTGCTCGGCTTGAACTCATGACCCTGAGATCAAGACCTGAGCTGAGATCAAGCGTAGGGCGTTTAACTGACTAAGCCACCCAGGTGCCCCTAGTTTTTGAAAACTATGTTCTGCTGTGTTTCCTCTTGCATTGTCTCAACAGGCAGCCATAAAACCAAGACGAATAATAGCATTGAATTGCCTTAAGGCTCCTCACACTCTGCTGGAACTCGGCTGTGGAATCTATCCCCTCCATTGAGCTGTATGTGAGTTGTGCTAACTTCTCCAGGTTTGCAGTCGGATGTCTGAACCCATACTCATGACATGAGTTCTTTAGACTTCTAGCTGTGTTGGACTCTCCTCAGATGGTCCCAGCAGAGTCAACCTCAGGCCTTTGCACTCACTGTCTGTTCCTTCTGCCTGAATTCTCATCCTCAACATCCATATCGGTGGGTTGACTCCTTCAACTCCTGCAAATCTCTGCCCAAGTGTCACCACCTCCAACAGGCCTGCACTGACCTCTTACTTAATTCAGCATCCTGGTCTCTGTCCTTGGCTGTCCCATGCCCCTTACCCTGCCCCACATTTTTCTGATTTTATGCCACTTGTCACATTTTAGCATGGTTTATCATTTGCTCACTCTGTCTTCTCTCGAGTGCACAGCTGTCCCAGTTCGCCTGGGACTTGGGGAGGTTCCCAGGGTGTGGGAAAGTCCCAGGCAAACGGAGATGAATTGGTCACCTTGCTTCCTTGTCTTTATCTTCCCATTTCACAACTGTGGAGATCTCCATTTTCTTCAGTGATTTATCCCACACATCAACAACAGTGCCTCACACATAGTAGGCAGTTAATAAATCTTTGCTGAATGAAGGAAGGAAAGAAGAAAGAGTAAGAATTACAATGCTTCCATCCCGGTGGCTAGGCATGTAGATTCTAAATGGACCTGCTATATGTTCCTTTCGGAGGGCAGAATCAAAAGTTACTAAGACTATAATTACTAAAGTTTCTAAGTCACTTTTTGGTGCCCATATGTATTATTTCCCCAGATCTTGCCTCACTTAATCTTAATGGCAGTCCTGCAGCATAGAATGAATAGTACCATCTATGGCCTCCAGTGTTTGTGAGTGTAAAAAGAGGTTCTTCCCATAAGGGCATTTTCAGCCTCCGACACTGGAGTAAGCATTCCGTGAATGTTCCTAACTTCATTATGATTGCTCCTGTTGTTAATTTTATTATTACTTTGATAGTCAGTGTCCTTTACTTTAGAATGGGAAATTTGAGTCTTAGAGAAGATTGATGACTTATGTGAAGTCACGAAACAAGTGAATGGCTGATGCTAATGTTTTTAAAGATATTTGGTCAATTTAAATGCAACCAAGGAAAGCTTGCTCTTTTTACTTCTTTTTCCCCACTTTATTGAGGTATACTCATTATACAAAGCAATTGCACATACTGTATACTTTTTGATTGTATATATTTGCATTGTATGTAATGAAGTTTTCATTCATTTCCCCAGCCTGCCTCACACTTTCGAAATGCCAGATTGGCCCAGCACTATTAAGTAATCAGTTTTGCTGTAGTGTTATCTTTTCAAAGTAATGTTCCAATACTACACTATTTTAATTAAGGAACCATTTAATATCCGCAATCAGAAGTATCCCTCATTACCCTTCTTTTTTGAGAGTTTCTTTGTATAATCTCACCTACTGAAGGCCTACAGCTAAAATTTAACCTCATTTTTCCAAATTTCTAATAACATGTGGCTTTTTAGTTTATTTGCTGTAATATGAGTACTTTTGAGAAAACATTTGATAACAACTGTCTTTCTACGTTTGTGTCTGTCCGTGGCGTGTCCTCCGAAGCTGTCCTTTTAAATCCCTTAGAGAAGTTTTGTTACTTCCTTCATATTGGTGAGTGAATTCTTGCTATTGTGAATTAGTTCTGAATTAGATTATCTTTAGAAAGTGTTGGTATGTAGTGAAAGCAGCGATTCTTCTTTCTTAGTGGTCAGCTTACTAATGTTATTGTTCAACACTGTTTAGAGTTTTGGAGGTTCGATTTTCACATGCTATTTAGAACATAAAAAATATTCATGTGTTTGTAGCTAAATGAAAATTAAGCATCATTTCCCATTGTCTAGGTGGGCAAATTTTACACATCATGCACGAACATTAGAGCGTTAATGGATGTGCCTTATTAGGCTCATGAACCCTCTAAAAATAAATTGATGTGTATGTGTATTATCATAAATACATTTTTGGAAAACATCGATCATAGATTTCTTCAGATCCCCACGTGTATCTGTAAATCAAAAAAAGGTAAGAATATATGTATATAAAATGTATTAAATGCCTTTAAAATATATACAGGGGTGGGCGCCTGGGTGGCTCAGTTGGTTAAGCGACTGCCTTCGGCTCAGGTCATGATCCTGGAGTCCCGGGATCGAGTCCCACATCAGGCTCCCTCCTCGGCAGGGAATCTGTTTCTCCCTCTGACCCTCTGACCCTCTGACCCTCTTCCCTCTCGTGCTCTCTATCTCTCATTCTCTCTCTCTCAAATAAATAAATAAAATCTTTAAAAAAAAATATATATATATATATATATACAGGGGTGCTCTGCCGGCCTAGTCAGTAGAGCATATGACTCTGAATCTCAGAGTCATGAGTTCAAGCCCCACGCTGGGCACACTGCTTATTTAAAAAATTTGGGGGGGGTGCCTGGGTGGTTCAATCAGTTAAGCATCTGCCTTCGGCTCAAGTCATGATCTCAGGGTCCTGGAATCGAACCCCAGGTCTGCTTCCCTGCTCAGCGGGGAGTCTGCTTCCCCCTCTCCCTCTGCCTCTCCCCCCCACCTGTGATCTCTTTCTCTCTCTCCTCAAATAAATAAAAGAACTTTAAAAATACTTTTTTTGAAAATAAAAAAATAAAAATATATATATATATATACACATCTTTTAGAATATAGCTTTCTAACGCATTCATTAGTGTATTTTTTTTTAAAGATTTTATGTATTTGACAGAGAGAGACTGAGAGGGAACACAAGCAGGGGGAGTGAGAGAGGGAGAAGCAGACTTCGCACTGAGCAGGGAGCCCGATGCGGGGCTCGATCGCAGGACCCTGGGGACATGACCTGAGCCGAAGGCAGACGCTTAACGACTGAGCCACTCTGGTGCCCCTCATTAGTGTATTTTTTCAAATGCAGTCAGACTTGATACCTTCCTAAGTAGCTAATATACAGAGCAAAGTTTTAGGAATCAATTTTGTGTTGAGAATTTCATCATTCTCTTCATCAACTCTTCAAGTTGTTCCTCAAATATACCCATTCTGATGGTGCCTTTGAAGAACAACCGGTTTGCCCACCATCCTTGCACCAATCTTCTTCTCTTTATTCTAATTGACTCTTTATTCTTTTTGGCATACTTAACATGTTCTAATCTAATTTTATTGTTTATTTATTTGGTTTTCTTCTTTCCTTATTGTATCTTCCCTATACACAACATAGAGCCAAAAGTCCAATAAAGAGGTATTATTTTTTATTTTATTTACAGATAATAACTATGCCAGCAGTAACTCATAGCACATGGTAGGTGCTCGTTAAATTGCTGGGTGAAAAAAAATAAGGAATAGTCTTTAACAATAGAAGTAAACTTAGTAAGAAAGATTGCACAAAGTACTCATAATACTGATGAGTGGGCATGTAGATACTAAATAAGACAGTTACATGTTAATTTTTAGAGGTTTTATGCATGGGATCAGTTGTCAAGATAACATCATCTTTTAGGCTCCTGAGTAGCTTTTAAACTTACAGAAGTATTTTCCGTATGTTGAATCATGATTAAAACTGAACATCCAGGGGCGGCTGGGTGGCTCAGTTGGTTGATCATCTGACTCTTGATTTTGGTTCAGGTCATGATTTCAGGGTCGTGAGATCGAGCCCTGCTTTGGGCTCAGTGCTCAGTGGGGGGCCTGATGGAGATTCTCCCTCTCCCTCTGCCCCTCTCCACACTTGTTCTCACTCTCCCTCCCTCTCTCTCTCAAATAAATAAATCTTTAAAAAAAAATGAACATCAGTCCTATGGCATAGAATTAACTGTGGTATCTGACTCATAGGTCTGTTAAGAGATAGTATTATCAAAGGCATTTCCACACTTCCTGACCTGGGAGCAGACCTCCAGTGAATGTTAATGATTTTGTAAATCATTCTTAATATTGCAGTTAATCATTGTTATCAAAAGCAGTTATTTCATTCTTCATTCTAGATGGGAAGTGTGTGCTCAGAGAGGATAAATGATGTGTTTAAGCACACAAAACCAAGAGAGTGATGGTGTTTTCATTCATTTTTAAAAATATGAATGTTCTTTGTCAATATTGTTAATATTAAAAGTTGTCCTTTGTTAGTTTACCTAAGGAAACAACTGATGGATATAAATTGACAAATTTAATAACATACCAAAAATTAATTCATTCCATACCTTTTCCATTATTTATATTAAACTTGTGCTCCGTCTCCCTCTATGCATAAAAACAGACAATAACATACAGACATAGGCACTCTATATTTCCTTGTTTTTTATTCATTTTACAAGAACAGAATCATCTTATAAAACCTGTAGTAATACTATCCTACACATTTCCCTGGAAATTGGTTTTCTCCTTGGATATATTTTCATAGGCATCCCTCTAGGTCATCATACACTTTATTGCTTTAGGTTTTAAAATTCATGTCAAACCCAAATGGGATTCATTAAGTGATAAAATTTCCCTTAAAAAAAACTATTTTCCCAAAAAGAGCCAATGTATATAACAGAATTTTAAGAAGGTCATTTTATTTCCTCAATTCTTTTAGTTTTTTAAGCCTATACCACATTGTTTGAATTTTTATAACTTGATACTGCCTTTTCGTTACCCTCACCGGCTGTTATGAATTAACTTTGTCCTTAAAAAAGATGTTGAGGGGATGCCTGGGTGGCTCGGTCAGTGAAGCATCTGCCTTCGGCTCAGGTCATGATCCCCGGGTCCTGGAACCAAGTCCCACATCGGGCTCCCTGCTTAGTGGGGAGCCTGCTTCTCCCTCTCGCTCTGCAGCTCCCCCTGCTTGTGCTCTCGTGCTCCGCTTGCTCGCTCTCTCTGCCAAATAAGTAAAATCTTAAAAAAAGAGATGTTGAATCCGTTTTACCCCAGTATCTCAGAATGTGCCCTTATTTGGAAATTTGGTCATTGTAGATATAATTAGCTAAGATGAGGTCATACTGGAGTAAGGT